AAGCCACGATCCCAGTCACAATGGTGATAAAAAAGTTTTTCCAAACCTTTCGGATCAGGTTTCCAAACTCGCTAGCACCGTTATTGTAACGTACATATAACATCGATGAGCATCACAGATCTGTCGATATACGATAGAAATTTTATATCAAATTGTAATTATTTCATCATCATTAAAAGAAAACGATATTTGATGTTTGAAATAATCCTATTTTATTAATGAATCATAATTGAACTTTGAAAGTGTGTGTGTGTATGTATTCTTTTCAATAGTTCAAAGTATACTATGATATTTTGTAGTCAATTTACTTTATTTAATAAGTTGTGGTAGTTCTTTTGAATATTGACAATTGAGACGTTTTTCTTAACACTTTTATCAAATCTAAACGAAATTGTTTAGAGAAAGAAAAATACGAAAAAAGAGATGACACTTTTTTGTTTTAATGTATTAACACGTTAGAACAGATAGATAGATAGATGGTACTTGTTATCCATATGATGAATAAATGCTGTGACTACTAGTTTATAATAAGTAGACACTGTCAATATTATTTGATTGAATGATGTAGATTTCAATTTGTTGTTTCTTCTAATGACTATTGATGAATAATATACACATTGTAGACATACTCTGATTGAAATATGTGAGTTAGATTGAAATGTAGGAAGAGAGAGAAAGAGAGGGAGAAATAGATAGTATTAATAAATTATAGTACTAGCATTCATTCAGTCTTATAAAAAACAAATAACTTTAAGTAAACTATCTTTACGGAGGTCTTAACTTGAAATTTTATCAGGTGAATAGATTTGTCGGTAATTTATCACATTCTTGTTCGCCGTTTAATTCTAAACATAGTGATGTTGGTAAAAAAAACCCTGATAGAACTGTCTATTCAATATATTTTGTTGAAAGCCGAAACAAGTTTGTATGAAAATACTTGTTGTTGGGTAGTTTGAGGCAATCGGTAAGAACCTCTGAATTTGAGTTTCATGACAGTTGTAATTTAATTGTATAGTTTATTAAAATGCTTAAAACTCAAACCTCTATCATTCATAGTCATAATCAAGAGGCGTTACCGATGAGCTAGTCTAGGTGTTACTAAACTTCCATAGAACTGAAGTGCTCAAATTGATGATTCATCGATTAGTAATGAATATTGTATTTATTCATAGCCTTTAATATTGATTTTATTTAACCTCTACTTAAACACCCACATATACCATATACGATATTGAGTCATTTAGATTTCAGATCACAGTGCAACTTAATCGATAGAATGTCACCATCATGACAGACTGGACTAACACAACATTGATTACCACTCAAAGATTACTAATCAGTGCATTAATAAAACTTCTCAATCGATTTCTAGTAATCAGAGAAAAGTTTTATGGATATTATAATAATTTAATTGTTGAATTCATGAGTCAATTGAAGCTAGACCATCATGGAAAACATGAAAGTACTTAAGTCCGTTTCGTCCTAGTATGAGACTCCTCGGTAGTGTACATCCGGTGGCGCAACTTCGTGGATTGGTTGAAGTTGGATATTAACACCGTTGGATTTCGGCCAGCTCAGCGGTCTGGTGGTTAAGCGTTCGCACGCGAGACCAATAGGTCTTGGGTTTGATTCTCGTGTGGCGGGGTCGTGGATGCGCACTTCTGAGAAGTCCCACAATAGGACAAAAGGACCGTTCAGTGCTTCCAGGTTTTCCATGGTGGTTTAGCTACAATCGACTCATGACTTCAACAATTAAATTACTATAATATCCACAAAACCGCTCTCTGATTATATTCTTTATTTAAATACTGTAATTTGGTTTTTAGACAAAAATAAGGAAAGCGAAAAATCTGAAATATGAAGAAGAAAAAAGAAACAAAAAACATGATGAAAATAGTTTTTATTGATGGTTGCTTCATTGATCTTGTTTAACAGACACAGTGAAATAATTTTTTTCTAAGTTCTGGAAGATATTGTTGATTTCTTCACAGTTAAAAGCACGAGTTAATCTCAGCTAGACCACTATTGAAAACCTGGCAGCATTGGATAGTTGTTTCATCTTAGTATAGGACTCTTCAACAATGTGCATTTACGATCCCGCATGCGGGATTCGAACCTAGGATCTTCGGTTTCACGCGCCAATACTTAACCTTTAGATCACTAGGTAGCTATCCAATAGTATTATTGTCTAACTTTAATTAATCCATGATATTGTTGAATTTAAACACCATTGTTTTAATTGTATAGTGTAAAATTTAGAGTAATAATAGAGATGGCAATATTACCATTATAATTATTTCTACTAGTTATGGTTTTTCTTATGTTTGGGTGGTCAAGAAGACATTTTTTTAAAAAAATTTTATTTTATAAGAAATCTAAATTTGGTTTTATGCTACCAAAGTGTATTTTTTTCTTGTTGTTTTTTTTTTGTTTCCCTACAAAGATATCTCTGTTTCTATCTTTATTCATATAGCCTATTCTAAATAAAACATTATGTTATCGGCATAATATACGAATATAATGTTGCTGACAATATAGGTTTAGGTAATGTTGACAACTAATATAATTTAATATTTATCACTTATACTATTGTTGTAGTTATATTAAAGAGTTAACTCATTATATACCTTATCACTTTCTTATATAGGGTTTTTGAAATACTTATATATGTAACTGTTAAACATACTTTATACATTATTTTAGTAACAACATTTAGTTACCATAATAACTTCTGTCAGTATTCAGGGGGTAGATTATATAACATTGGTTATTATTTTTTTATATTATTTTATGTCAAAAGTATCGTTATCAGTCATTCTATGAAAAAGATTAATGTGAAAAATTCCTGAATAAATTCTTTGATCGATTTTAAGGATTCTTGTTTTATGTAACAATAAAGCCACGTTTTACATTATTTGAATAATATTCATTAAGTCAACAGACAGCTGAGTAATTTATTTCAGGTTCATTAGATGGGATTATAAATGGTGATTAATTAGAAAGATTTGAAAGAAGGTATACTTATTTACTTACTTAAGTCTGTCACCTCTCATGGACGAACATAGGCCACTCATCAGCATTCTCAATCTAACTCTGTACTGGACAGTTCTTTCTGGTTGTTTCCAGTTTTCATTCATCCTTTATATATATGCTTCCAATTCTTGATGCAGTTTGTTTTTCGGTCTACCACTTTTCCGTTTCCCTTCAGGATTCCAAGTTAGCGCATGTGTCGTGGTGCAGTTTGATGATTTCTTGAATGTATACTCTATCCATTTCTATGATCTTTCTCTAATTTCCTCTTTAGCTCGAAGATAGTTTGTTCTCTCCCATAGTAGGCTATTGCTGATGGTGTCTGACCAACGGACATTGAGTATCTTGAGTAGACAATTGTTTATAAATACTTGTACTTTTTTATGATAGTTGTAATGGTTCTCTAAGTTTCAGCTTCTTACATTAAAATTGTCTTGACGTTTGTATTGAAGATTTTCACTTTGATATTGGTTGATAGTTGATCTGATTTAGATATGTTGTTCAACTGTAGGAATGCTGTCCTTGATTTGCCAATCCTTGCTTTTACTGAAATAAAGTATAGTAATAGAATTTTCTGAATATTTAACAATGAAAACCTAACATCATTTGTATAAATCATACTGACAAGTTGGATCAATCTCAATTCATCTTACTGTCGATTATTCAGTTTTCATCTTTCTGCACTACAGATCTTTCTTCACTCTTATTTTGCATTGATAAGTAGTTTATATAATTAGCAGTTGAGTTATTTAAATGAATTATAATTTGCACAACAAATATACTTGAAATTTCAAGAGAGCATTATCATTCTAGACATTAAAAACACCCCTTGTTGATGAATATTAGTTAGTCTAAAACGTAGACCTAAAGTCTCATAGTGATTCCTTTCAAATTCTAATATTGAATTTACATGATGATGCTTTGTGATCACCTCTCTATACACCTTTGGGAAATATTATTTTTATTTTCATTTTAATTAATTTTACAGAACTTTCAGTTAGAAGGTGTTTTCTTAAGTTCTATTCCATATATTAAAGTTAAATTGATAATAGCCAGAACAAAAATGGAATGTCAGAAGAGGGTGTTTTGTTGATATTATAGTAATTTTAATAGTTGAGATCATGAGTCATTTGAAGCTGGGCCATCATGGAAAACCTGAAAGCACTGGATAGCCATTTCGTCCACGAGACCGATAGATTCTGGGTTCGAATCTCGTGAGGCAGGATTGTTGATGCGCACTGCTGAGGAGTCTCACAACAAGACGAAATGGCCGTCCATTGCTTCCAGATTTTCCATGATGATCGAGCTTTAATTGACTCATGATCTGTAATATTAAAAATGGAACAGTTTTGTTGAAAAGTTAAATAAATTTTATTTTTGAGATTTAGTTGAATTTGCAGTCCCAGATGCAAGTAGTGATGATGTTGTTCCAAATGAAAATGAAGTTTATTTTTAAGAAGTAAATCATTCTGTATTAGTGAACATAACGAAATCAATTACATCTATTGAATCTGAAAATCTTCTCATTTATTTTAAGTACTTAAGATTTAAATATAGATAGTGGGTAGCAGTGGAATCCAGGTAGTGCTTTTCTTCCTATTTGTGACTCATCAGCTGAATGTGCCTGTATCGTAGATTTGATGTTCACGACGGAACTCAAACCCTGTACCGTTCGATTCAAACGCCATCGCGTCACCCACTTAGCTACCTTTGCTTAAAAAGCTTGTGACTTAAGTATATATCGAGGCGATCCACAAAGGATGCACATATACCAACATGAGACTAATCAATTGCAGTCCTAAATAATGATGGAAAGATACGAGTAAAACCACACCAAGTGAATTCATACTTGAGATTTAGTTTGATTAGACAATCAGTATTCAACCAACTGAACGTTTGCTTATCAGGCATAAATTTTAAATAATATCTGATTCAAAATAGCTCTTTTAAAATGCATTTTCATACTGCAGGCCACCATTCGCAAATGAAAAACTGTTGGATTCTGTACGGTCTAAAAATGCTAGCAATACTAATAGTAGTAACAAAGTGGAATGTTCTTCTCCAGATGCTAATATGGTTGCAGCCGTTGCATTCAATGCTGTCCGTAGATGGTTTACTAATTCATCAACATTAACTAATTCAGATAACACAATGAAATCAGTATGGAACGAAAATATGAGAACAGGAAATTCTGGTACAAATTCAATTGGTTTCATGCATCAATCGAATATATTACCTTATGCATCATTAAATTCTCGTTTACAACATCCATTACCACCTCCACCTTTAGTTTTGAACTCAACTGTCGGTAATACAACCACACAAAATTCAACATATAATAATTATGGAATGTTTATGCATCGTGGACATCATAGTAGTGGATACGTTCCAAATCATACAGCCCCAATGTTGCGTGGGGGTAAGAAACGGTCTCATTCCCAATCATCTGTAAATGAATTATTTGATATATCGAGTTTAACGAGAAGTTCACAAGGTTCATTAAATATCATGCAATCTATACGTGGTTCACATAGTATGGGACCAAGTGCTGAAGGTTCATATGGTCATTTATCTGCTGGTGAGTTGCTATAATAGTACTATTATATAACATTGGTACGCTGAATAGCCGAATTCGATATAATGTTTAACAATACGCATAAAATGTAGTATACCTAATAAGTTGACAATTAAATAGACAACAGTAAAAAAATCTATATCAGCAGTTCATAAAACACAGGCATTCCTAAATCCCTAGTTAAACAACATCTTATGATGTTTAGTAGGCATCAAAAGAGTGATTGATAAATAAATCAGGATTATTGAGTGCTGACCACTATCATGCTTATCTAACCTTTCTAAGTATATCATAGCACGATATTGCATGGACAAAGTTACGATATTAGGTTGTTGAAGGTAATTGGAAAGAATACAATATTATGATATCAGTCACTACTCAATCGGAAGTCGTTTCAGTTTAACTTGAGTTCATTCGTAGCCTGAACACTTCAGTGCTAACGTCTCACACTGTGAAAGTGGATGATGGTTCAACTCAGATTAGAGGTATTAGTCCCTTTAAGATCTCAGGCATGCTTTTTTGATGAGGGCTAACTGGCATGAGACATATGTCTAGGATTCCAAACCGGATGTATCCAATTACCTAGCATCAAAACTATTGTAAATGCCGAAACTAATTTCCTTGATTGAAACACCATACAACAGGAAGTGTTATAAAAACATTCAACTGAAATACTGACGTTCATCATCTGACATATGCTGTTAGGATGTTATAAATAAATATCAAGATGTTTTGGAGTTATGTTTTATGAATCTTAAGCAATTATCAGTATGTGAATATTCAATTACGAAGGGAATTGTTGGGTGATATATGTTTGAATCGTATTAATTGCCTTCGTCTTCGCCTTACCTATCTGTGTCCTACTTCACTTCGCCTCGGTTCGATTTGACCATAAATCCACCTCCGCATTTGCTTGCGCGCATACATTAGCCTCTCTGCTCTAATTCGCCCAGTGTACTTGTAACTTGGTTATCTGTGCTATCCGCTAATAAACTGTAGTTACCGCTTCGTATTACCTTCTGAATTCATACACCGTTGGAGTTTATTTAATATCGGGTGATTGATAAACGAAGCCTAAGGAGTTATCCCGAAACCAAACCGCTACAAGTTCAAGAAATTGCCTTCGATAATGTCTTGAAAGTATTTAATTATGGAACTTGTATATTTGTTTCAACTCGTTTTCGAATGATTAGCTAAACGTGATTTCATGCAAGTGAATATTGTTTATATTCTTTACAACAATTTAAAGTTGGGAGAATTACACTCAATGTACGGAAACTGGACATCGTTGGTTATGTCTTTTGAAATCATCCTTTGGGTCTTTTCAAGTTACACGAAGACTATTAGCTTATTTTTTACTTAAAGTATGTAGATTTGAAGAAGGATAATAGTCGATAATCAATAAGATTGTTACTATTATTCATGTGTCTAAATGTCTGACCCGTACCTCTATTGTTTTATTTAGTTAATGTTATATACTGTTTTCCTCTAAAATCACTTTAATTTCTTCCTAGATTTTTAATATAATGATTAAAATTGGTCTTGGGAACAAATTATTTTCTTTATTTCATTTCTATCATTAAAGCTTCACTTGGTGCAAGTCCTGGCGCTTCATGTGATATTCGTCGTACACTAAGCAGTAATGGCAACTCTTCACATACTGCTCCACCAGCTCCATTTAGTGAGAGATCGCCATTCTGGTCACCTAATTCACCACATTCAACAGGTAGTGGGTTTGATAATTATCAAACGTCTTCACACAAATCTTTACCGTTACCGTCAACTTTACAAACATATCAACAACATTCCGGATATACATCTACAAGTGGTAGTAGTAGTAATCGTTCAGCTAGTTGTTTAAACCGTGCACCTTTTGGACATCTTGCGGTTTTATCTTCATCAAATTCATTAAATAAACAGTTACAACAACAATCGGATTCTAATTCTCTGTTCAATTGTTCAATAGATGTTCCGAAGAAACTGACAACTAATTCTTCTAATATGATATTACCATCATGTAGAACATTAGGATTGTCTACCGACAGTGTTACAGCATCTTCATCAGAAATAACGAAAAATTGTACTAATAATGTTTTACAATCAGCAATGGCCTTCGCTGCAGTTGCGGTTGCAGCTGCAGCAGCCTCTTCCACAACCTCTAGCATAACAGAGAGAGAAAATTCATCTTTACTGAATAAACATGTATTAGAGAATACTTTTCATCGTGAATGTAGAAATCATAGTTTACATCAGCATCCATCAAGTGAATGTGAGTCCTGTTCATCGACACATACCATTGGCAATAACAATAACAAACTAAATGAATCAATCAATTCTGTGTATAATAATCTAGTTCCTTCATGCTTTATGAAACCACCTTCTTCTGTTACCATTAAAAGTTCTGTTACTACCACTGACAATAATAACAGTAGTACTAATATTCTTTCAAATCATCTCTCAACAGACAGTCGAAATATATCTTTAAATAAGTTACAGTGTTATAATAACGATTCCAATACTAATGATGCTTGCATGGATGCAACTAATAATGAAAATATCCAACAAGGAGTATTGAGAAAAACCATATCCTCTACTCCTTCACATTTTCAATTATCTTCTAATTATTCTTCTACAATTTATAATCAATTAACTCATAACAATTTCAGTAATAAATCTACTACTGTTGTGAATAATGATAACGACTTTAATAATTGTAGTAATATGCCTTCATCATTTACAAATCCTTTACATTGGCCATTTGAGTCAATACCTACACCTGACTGGTCACATACATGGCTTAACAATAATAACAATAATACTAATAATAATATAAGATGTCAAATCAATCCAAATGAGACAATTCGAAGAAATGGACGAGTAAAAATTGGACAAATTGATTTAAATTCAACGGTATTATCCAAAAGTGAAATGTCTAAATTATTAATGAATGATAACAATAATAATAATCATCATTTATTTGGTAAAGGTAATAATCTTTTATGTCCAACATTAACAAAAGACTTATTAAAACAACATTGTGCATTAAATAACTCTAATATTAGTAACATTAACAATAGTTTATCAAATCAACAATCTTCACAAAGAAAACAAATTGATGGCACATTGAATCAAATGCGTAGTATTAAAAATTTTAATCGTACTTGTCGTACAACCCCAGTATTAGAGACAATAACACCAGGAATAACCACATCAATAACAGAGACATCAGTAGTTGCATCATCATCAACAACAGCTGCAACATCAACTACAACAGGAGTATTTAAACAAAAAACAATTGAACATTCAAATAAATGGCAAAATCAAAATATATTTAATAGTCGTAAGAATTCAACACGTGATTCTAGTAATAATAATATTAATAGTGGAGTTGGACATTGTTCAGTTGATGAACCAGATGTAGATGAAGATGAAGAACTAGATGATGATGGACGTGTACCACAAGAAGGTGATCCAGATTTTGTTGAAACAACATGTCGATGGGGTGATTGTACATTACAGTTTGATGATCAAGATGAATTAGTGAAAGTAAGTTGTGTTTTTTAATTATTTTAAAATAAATAAAAAAAATTCCGCTGTGAAATTTAAAACAACATATATAAGCTAACAATATTGTTTTTAGTTGAATCTTCATCAGACTTTGACACACAGTGGTAATATATATATGTGTGTATAAGAGAAATATAAGAAAAATTAAAGTAGTATACGAGTCAGTTATGACATTGAAATAGATAACATAACCAACAAAGATGACTAAAACGTACACGTTTTCAGTAAAATGATAGATGAACTACTGAGGATCAGAATGATAGAAGCGTGTTTCAATATTTAAACATAGAAAGTAGATTAAAACTTGAATATATATACACCGCTTTCGAACGGAGTTCACTTACGTCTCCTACATATAGTAGAAGCTACAAACTTGAATTAACGATCCTAGACTATGTGTCTACAAGAAATTTTTAATCTCCTTAACAGTTCCTTAGATTGGTAAAATCTAAAAAGAGATTTTACGAAGTATTAATATTGTCATTATTATTTTCCATACCCTTTGCTCGTCTGTGCGGCGAGACTATAATTTATGGACGAACTAATCAGGTATAAGATAACAGGTCTCGGCATCTTAGCTGATGTCAGTTCGTGATGAAAAACCCTGAATATAATTCCTAACCCTTACCATCAACTGTAAATTATAATTTTAATTCCCCGCACTGCTTTTATAATCCTCATTTGGTCCTAGTTATTCAGTTGACATTCTCAGGGTCACACTAGCGTCTTTCAAAAATCGTCCATAAATTATAGTCTCCCCGTGTTTTTTCTTCTTCACTCTCTTTCGTATGGGTTGTTCACTATCTAATTATTTCAGTACTTCTTAACTGTAATTTTAATCATTATTATTCTAATGTCTATCTTTTCAAGTTTTAACCAACATTTTATGTTAAAACATTGATCTAAGTTTCATTATTTTGTATAATTTGTTTCTGAACAACTGTTTATTTTAATTTATTGAAATAGTTATTCTAAGATGTAAAACGATCTGTTATAAAGAGTATCATATTTAAGTAACTCTTTCATTCAATATCTTTCATATTATGGTAAATTTTTGATGCGTTTGAAAGAGGGAAGTGAAAATTTTTGAGATTCCTAAGCCCATAATAAATTTGGTCGAAGATAATCAAAAACCATTTTTTTTAGAATCATGACAATCATTCTAGTCATAATAAAAATTTAAGAGAGCTAATTTGAATCATTACATGAAGGTAATATCGGTTGATTGGTTAACATAATTGTTTGATGTATAAAAATCGCAATGGTTGTGATCATCAGCAATTCAACCTAGATCACTATGGAGAAACTGGAAGCACTGAACGGCCGTTTCGTTCTATTGTAGAAATCCTCAGCAGTGCACATCCACGATACCCCCATGCAGGATTTGAACTCAAAACATATCGGTCTCCCGCGTAAGCACTTAACCACGAGACCATTGAGCCGAGATCCGACGGTGTTAATGTTCAGCTTCAAACAGTCCACGAAACTGAGCGACACATCCACTATTGTCTTCAGTGAGTTACTATCTTACAACAGACCCCGTTGAACTCCACTGGTCACTGCTTCTCACAGTAGACCGAAACGGCCATCCAGTACTTCCAGGTTTTCCATGGTGATCTAGCTTTGAATGGTTTATGATCTGAACTACTAAAATTACTGTAATATCCATAAAACCTCTTCTGATATTAATCAACATATGCACTCTCGTAACTTGCTTTAAAATGTAACTTCTGGAGTTCTACTGAGAAACTGTGACCAGTGAAGTTCAGTCCATGTCTAGTGCGGGACAGCTATTCATTGACAGTCTGTATTTTTCACTATTTTCTAACAGGTATTAGTTTTTCGATCATATTGTGTAGTCTAACTATTTGTTTTAGTGTTATGTAATTATTATTATACATAGGTTTTAATGGCCACATTATGATCTAATTAGTTAACTTGGTCACAAGACAATTTTATTCCAACTCATATTCTTAATGCACAAATTTTTCAATAAATTAAACAGATTTCAAAAGTATCTGATTGCCCCCCCCCTCAAGTATCGGTATGGATAACCATCCCCGTCCAATTTAGCAAATCATGAAATCTCATGATAGAATATAACAGTAAATATTCTTTTCAGCAAGATCAATATGAAATTTCCTGGAAGTTGCAAAACCTATCCGGTTTGATATGGGATGATTAACAAAGTAAAATATATAAAGTCAAATTATGAACTTGTAAAATATAACTTTCAGTCTCTGATAATTTTCATGTTAAAAACAATCGATTTCGTTTATAATTTTGTATAAAAAGTTATACTACTTTTTAGTAGGTAAAGTATATACATAAAATTTATTATTGAAAACATTTTTTTCTATTCTACTTTAGCATCTTAGTACGGAGCATATTGCAGGAAATAAAAAAAGTTTCGTTTGTTTATGGCGAGAATGTGTTCGTGGAACTAGACCATTTAAGGCTCAATATATGCTTGTTGTACATATGCGTAGACATACAGGCGAAAAACCACATAAGTGTATAGTAAGTATCAAAAGATTTTTGTTCTAGTATATTCCTGTACATATAGTATTGAACTGTTTTGCTGGTTTATATGTGATTAAAAGTATCATAAATTTGTCAAATATTCATGCAGTCGTTCATATAAATCACTGGAAAGTATCTCTTTCTTTCGTATTCAATATTTGTGATTGATTTATTTCTGTTGATCAAATTAAATGACTCCGTCTCGAATTGCAGTAGGATTTATGCTTACTGAACAGAAGCATTTGTAAATGGTGGGATCAGAGCTAGACTCCTTGTTTGTTAACATACACATCTGAAATGTTGTAGAATTATTTACTGGCTTCGAGGTTTATCTCAAATTTAAATTGTTTCACGAGTATCAGGTATTCATTGTTGACTTTCTAGTAAATGATCTATGTCGACTCTAACGATGTTGGTGAGATATTTGTTCCACTTAACTTCGTACATATTTTGCCGATTTAACACGTTTTGAAAAGTAGAATATCAGAAGTCGAATACGAAAATGATTTCAGATATAAATATTTCGGGCATTCATCAATACAAACAGACGATGAGAGATGCGACTCGGAAAAGGCAAACGCTATTATTCAATCAACACTTAGTCAGTTATTCTTTACATTGAATGAATAATATATAGTTTGCTGATATCCAATAAGGTTAGGAATGATGGACACAAATAAAGCAACCGCGCGCAAAAGTGAACATGATATAATTGACAAGGTCTTAGATGACAAAGTACCTTGGACAGTCATCATAAAAATTACCAAGTTGGGATGACATAATCAATAGTCGGACAAAAATAGACTTCGTAAGGGTGTGATAAGAACTACCATAAGTAGAGTAATTATGTGAAATTCCAAAAACTTTATATGAAAACTATGACAAAACACATAAATCAGAATGCTGAAAATTTGGAATTTCATAGATTTGTTCTATTTATTCACTTACTAATATTATTCTGAAGGTGCTCTTATTAGGAGTAACTATTGAGTGTTTTCATTTTTTCATTAGAACTGCCCACCTTTCCGCATTTTCAACCAGATATTGTGATGAACATTATTTACTTGCTTACTTACTTACTTGAGCTTTTTACCTCTCGTAAATCATAGGCCATCAACCAGCAATCTCCGACCTACTCTCTCTTGAGCTCCACTTTTCGATTGTTGTCAAATGCTATTCACTATTTTGACATCTGCCTCCATTTCCGGACACAGTACATTTTTTGGTATTCCCCCTCTTCTATTCTTTTGAGGATTCCGAGTTAAAGCCTGCCTAGTTATCTAATTTGACGATTTACACAGTGTATGCTCTATCGACCTCCAGAGTTGTTTTTTTTTATATTCTTTTTAGCTGGAAGTTGGTTTATTTTCTGTCACAGTACGTTATTACTAATGATTCCTTGCTAAAGGATCTAGAGTTTCTTGAATGGACAACTGTTTATAAATACTTGCACTGTTTTGACAATGATTGCAGTAGTTCTCTAAGTCTCAGCTCCAGACAACAGGACTGTTTTGACGTTCTTTTCTAAAACTATTACTTTGATGTTGGCGGATAAATGTTTTGGTTTCCAGATTTTCATCATTTTCAGGAATGTTGTCTCTGCTATACCAACCTGTGCCTTCATATCTACATCAGATCCCTCTTATTTATCAATAATGTTGTCAGATACGTAAACGTTTTCGCCTCTTCGAGAACTCATCCATCAAGTGTGATTTAGTTGGTGGTGAAACCAACAACATATTTTCTCTTCATAGCTTATATCGTGAACTGATCAAAGATAGATAACTATTTAAAATCAGTAGATACTGACTAGTGTCGAAAACTATGAAACTAAACAATCTTCACAAACCTGCACATTAACTACATTTTGGGCAATCATAGATAACATTGTCTTTCAGTCGTATAGTTTATGATACCAGTATATAATCAACGTCATCTTTATCAATATTTAGATTGATTAGTTCTCAATAACATTGATCAACTTTATTTCATTTTTAGTTTGAAGGTTGTACAAAGCGTTATTCTCGTTTGGAAAATTTAAAAACTCATCTTCGATCACATACTGGAGAAAAACCTTATCAATGTGAAATTCCCGGTTGTAATAAAGCATTTAGTAATGCTTCAGATAGAGCTAAACATCAGAATAGAACGCATAGTAATGAAAAACCCTATACATGTAAAGTTGATGGTTGTTCAAAACGATACACAGATCCAAGTTCTCTACGAAAACATGTAAAAACTGTTCATGGTGCTGAAGTAAGTTATATGTGATAAAATGATAACAATTAAAATAAGCATTAAAAAATATTATTTTGATTATGTATGTTTCTGTCCCTTTGGACTGTTTCCACAATCAATGTTGTAGAATGTTCTTTCACATAAGGTATATATTTACAATATTCAGTCTATTCAATTTTTGGTGTATAATTTAAATATCGTAGCAAACATATGAAATGGATCGTTTTTCGTTTTTAATATCAAAACAAGAATAGATCTTGAATTTTATTTTAGACTGAATGCACTTTTTCTAAGTAACCTCGAGAAACAAAATCTTTCTTTATAATACATACTCACCATTACAGAATCTAATGAGTACTAAACCATTGAGCAATTATGTTAAAAGATTCAACGGTTCACATTTTCAGTTTTAGTTAATTTGTAGTAGAGTGAAGGGATCATTGACAAAAAAAGAAGAATGTATTGATCTATAAAACAACATGTTCAGTAACTCAAACAAAAGTTGACAAGCACCCCTTTCATGTTACCGCCAACTGTATTTATAAATTCACATGTACTTGTCAAAGCAGCTATATTGGTCGAAAATAAAGGAAGGCACATCTTAGATTTTTTGAACATGTTCCAAAAAGCATTAGAATAAGAGAAAGAAAGACCTTAAACAGTGCAATCACCAAACATCTCGATGATACAGGACAATCCTTCAAGGTGATTAGTAAGCAGCCAAACTTCAATCTTCTGAAGTTTGCTGAAGCCGCTGCCATCAGGCGTCAAAAACCTGACTTGTGTGTTCAAAAGGAGATGGTTACTAATTTTTCCTTGCCTTGATGACTAATATTCTTTCATTGCATTTTAAATTTTTCTTTTTCTTTAATCTCCTCTTTGCATTTATCACATCATTGAGTTTTATTTGAACTATCTTCCAAATTAGTAATCTTATTTTATTAACTGAGCTTTACTCATTTTATTCCTATCAACGTTTACTCGTTATGTAATCACTTGTTTCTGGCTGTTTGAACTGTTGTCACAATCAATATTGTAGAATGTTCTTTCACATAAGGTATATATTTACAATATTCAGTCTATTAATTTTATTTACACCCTTGCTACACTATACTACTATGTCTTCAATATAACTTCCAACCAAACCTCTCATGTAAGTAATTTATTATGATTTTAGATATCGCAGGTTGTAAGCAGCTGACGAGAACCAACGAAATAAAATGAATTCATACTATTTTGCTACAATCTTTATTCTTGCTTTTTTCAAAATGATAAAAGGAATTATGTGTATGAAAGATCTGTATACAAAGAGAGAAAGTCTATCATGTGGAAAGTTATAAACATAAACACGTATCTATTTAAGAACAATAATAATTTTGTATTTACAACTGTAGAGCCTGATGAAAACGTTATCCAGTATGACTATTTACTCTAATACACTTTATTTAGGAGCCTCCAGAAAAATTATAGTTTTGGTATGAATATGTTAATGAAAGCCAGTGTAATCAAATATGGATAATCAAACGAGCGATATAAATCGATAAACATTCAATTTTGGATAGATATTCCAGTACGAATAGTATGTACAAATGGAAATTTTGATTTTTTTTCTTTTGGTAGGTCTATGCAAATAAAAAGCATAAAGGTGAAAGTTGGAGTGATCGACCTTGTGGTGGGTCTGGTTTTGGCGGAGGGCATTTATTTGGCAACAGTAATCCAGGTAATAACAACAATAGTTATCCTTCTCAAGATAAACGATCCAATGGTTCAATGCCTGGTACACGTGGAAGATTTGGTCCTCGCGGAATGAATGATAACGGTAACATATTTCATCGTGGAGCCTATTCAGATCGAGAGCAACGCCCTTCTTCATCGTCAAATCCAAGAGATGGTTGTTTAGCTTGTCTTACTAATCCAGTTCATACAACTACAATACATCCTGTAGAAATCAATAGCGAAAGCATTATCACAGAATATCCTAATCAAGATTTATCGAAGTTGACAAGATCCAGTATAGAAGAGTCTGGTAGAAATACTTCACATAATATGAATTGGTATTTACCTGAAACTGATAATCAAAATGTACACTCTAGTGTTTTAATGATGACATCATCACCGGCAGTATACAATACAAGAAATGATTATTTCCCTAGTTTGAAATGTGAACATTCCATTTATCCAAATTATTTTAGTTTTGCGCGAAATATGATTCATACTGAAGATACAAATCAAAATGATAATAATAACAATAATAATTTGGCTTTATCTTGGACATCACCAACAACACCATCACCATGTGATAACTTATATTTAAATCAAAAAGTTAATCCATCTATAACATTACAACCTTTATCGACCATATCAAATCCTATTCAATCATTATCACTATCAAAAGACAATTCAAATAACTTAACAAGTATGAAACAGAAAAATCTTATCTCAACTGTTAACGAATCAGTGACTATGATAAGAAATGAAAATTGTGATCAATCAATACCAGTATGTACTTATGGAACATCAGAGGATTTGGTAAAAGATTTCAAAAAATCATTAAAAACTGAAGATAATAATTTAATATGGAATTGGAAATATTCACAACCGTCAATTGATGAAATCAATAAAGATCATTGTAATAAAAAGCATTCCATTTTACAATTTGATGATCAAGATATGAAAAAGGTATGTTTATTTTCTGCTAAACTAGTATTTCCCATCATAAATATAAACAGATAAATTGAAACATAGATTGAATGGATTCAGTATGTGATTAAAAAATTGTGATGTTTATACTTTTTAGTAATTATTTTAAGAGATTATTATACATCTAAGATGAGTTTTTGTGAATATTATGGTAATTTGATGGTTGAATCCATGAGTCAATCGGAGCTAGACTATCATGGAAAACTTAGAAGCACTGGACGGCTGTTTCGTCCGCGAGACCGATAAGTCCTGGGTTCGAATCTCTTGAGGCGCGATCGTGGATGCGCATTGCCGAGAAGTCCTACAATAGGACGAGACGGTCGTCTAGTGCTTTCAGATCTTCCATGGTGGTCTAGCTTCAAGTGACTCGTGAATTCAACTACAAAATTATTATGCATCTTAATAGTTGAGATCATGAGTCAATGGAAGCTAGATCAATATGAAAAACCTGGAAGCACTGAACGGCCATTCCGTCTCATTGTGGGGCTTCTCAGCAGTGTGCATCCACGATACCCCTCGCGGGATTCAAACCCAGGACACATCGGCCTCCCGCACGATCGCTTAACCTCTAAATCACTGAGCCAATATCCAACGGTGTTAATGTCTAACATAAAGCAATCCACGAAATTGAGCGACACATGCACTATTGTCTTCAGTGAGTTACTATCTAACAATAGACCCGGTTGAACTCCACTGGTCACTGCTATTCACAGTAGGACGAAACGGCCATCCAGTACTTCCAGGTTTGCCATGGTGATCTAGCTTTGATTGACTCATGATCTCAACTATTGAAATTACTGCAATCTTCATAGAACCCCTTCTGATATTATACATCTGCTTGGTAGCATGTGATACTTGAATTATGCAATTTTAAAGAGTAACTGATCCATTTCAATATCGAATTATCTAACAGATGGACGCATCAGTTAAAGTGTTACTAAAAAAATCTATCAGTTTGGTTCATTGTGATTTTTCAACAGTGAAAAAGAGTATATATGTTTGATGAGGTGGACATCGAAATGAACAGATAGAATAAATAGGATAAAGTAGAAGTTTCGTTATGAGTTGTAGGATTTCAAGTAGACGATAACGGTTGGATATATATAAAGGAATTATGATGGCCCCCAAATGCCCTGATATGGCCGAGAGTGATGAGAGTCCACTCTTCCTCTCGAAATGCTCTCACACGGCCACGCGTATATAGCCACAGCCAGGGAAGTCCTACTCATTGCCTTCTCGTGGCATTACTGTTGTTTACGAAAATGAGAGGACGAAAAGCGAATGTCCGGCGCTTTAACCGGATCCCAAATCAATGGTGCACATGGGCTCCAGTATCCTGAAGGATCGAATGGCGTATGAACCAATCGTTGGTCACCAGCTACCATGGGACTGCATCTCCTCACGATGCTCCACTGCCTTGTGGATGAGATCTCCAGGTCGAAGGCTCGGGCTGTGATCCCCTAAGTAAACCATCTGCTTCGGTTTGGGAACCCAGACAGTATCACATCCCTCACACAAATTAAATGAGATCTGTGTGGTGCATATGTATTCGGTGCCTCCTTGTACCGATATCTATGTGTTAAAGTAATAATTCCAAGTGGGGGGTTTCCTTATGACACAGTTGGATGCTTTCCTCAACTCCGCCTTTAGCCCTCCTGGAGTTACTTCCGGTCCCAAGCCCGGATAAAGAAGGAGGGTTGGGCATAGAGTTAAAATCCATAGAGAATCATTGAATTAGACTTTGAACTTGTTATGTAATTCTGACCAAATACATATAAGATTACAATACTCTTCTCTACAATAGTAATTTTCTTACATAACTATGTAAATAATATATTCTGCATCTTTAAAACTATAATATATGAATGAAATCTCATTAAGAATTAATTTATCCTAAACATTATACTTTAATGATACATTTCATTTTTATTCAAGCCATTACCTGAATATTTACCAACATCATTAGAATCTCAATCAAATACTCAATTCACATTAAATTTAAATGATCAACCAATGAATTCATTAACTAGATCAATTAATCATGATCATTTCAATGAGATCTCAACTAATTTTAATGAAACATATCGTGAAAATAATTTACAATTTAATTTCCCTTTAAAATGGAAAATTGAAGATACATTAGCTTATTCAAAAAATGCGGACAATGGTAGTCAGATAAATAATAATAATAATAATAATAATAATAATAATAATAATAATAATAATAATAATAATAATAATAATAATGAATTAGATGAAGAAAATTCTCCTCAATCAAATCAAAATGAATGTATTTCCAAAATACCATTATTATTGAATAATCATTATATGGAAGATGTGACAGAGCAAAAATCTCAATTCTGTTTAATAGAATGTTCAACTCGATTAAGATCAATACAAGATATTTGTTCACCTAATGGTAATTATCTTTCATTTTAATTATTTTTTATATTTTATTTTGTTGTTGATTGGATAAATCTTTAATTAATGTACTTTTCCAGTTAGCTGATTTATTTTCTATTATTAGCAGGTGAATATTTGTATACATCTTTTGATAATAAAGATTTTTTACGAGACTATAATTTATGGACGAACCAAATAGATTTAAGAGAATAGGTCTTGGATTTTGACGCGAAATTCACTCGCCTATTCGTTCAAATAGCGTCTTGGCATTTTAGTTGATGTCAATTCGTAATGAAAAACCGTAAATCTAATTCTTAACCTCAGACATCAACTGTAAATTATAATTTTAATTCTCCACACTGCTTTATAATCCTTAGTTATTAAGTGGACATTGTCAAGGTCACTTTAGTGTTGCTCAAAGGTCGTCCATAAATTATAGTCTCATCAAGATTTTATATGTACGAGGTGGATAATTACAATAAACTTACCAGATACATGTTGACTGATATAAAGTATATTTGTATGCCAATTATGAAACATATGACTTTAAAATTATTAGGGTTTCCGAGCTTAATTACTTAGAATTCTTTTATTCTGATACGTTTTAAAAGAAAACAGCCTATTGAATAGCGTTATAGGAATGGTGTTTGGCGACATACAGCTAGAGAGCATATATAATCTGTTCAATTCATATGTAAATTCAACTACTAAGTTGGGTTTTTTTGAGCAAATAGGGAAATTTCCTGGAAACCCATAAAACGTTGAGATCTGTTTACGCAGATAACACGTTGGATAAAGTAACTTTTCCAAATGGATCATACGTTTCAGTGAGATCCATTAGGACTACAAGTATAATGAAATACAACCACCGAGATTCTGATTGAATGAAAATAATCCATACACGAGGTCTCCTATGTTTTTTAATCTCTAATTCAGTGTTCAAATGACTGCTAAAGAACCGAATCCAGGAGAATGATCTGATCTTAATATTTTAGCAAAATAGTCCAAGTCGATAAATTTCTGTGCGAAAATTTCTAAGTGACCAGGGAATCGAAGAATCTGACTTTTAAACACATCCAATGGTATCCTAAACAATGGAAATGGATATTATATATGTATATAACAAATGGGAAGTATTTTGAGGGGGTTAAGATTGATACAATCTACATTTTACAAAGTTTCTATGATCTCAGTTTGAATACATATTGGACAGAGTGTATATAAATGGAACGAAATCCTTATAATAATGATAACTTTCACTACTATTCATTATTACAAGTTTCGTTACAGTAAGCAATCGTTAGAGTCATTTGTGCAGTACTGTAATAAATTTTTCTTCAATATACACTCAAATTCCAATTAGTCATAACGTATATCCTACAGAATGACTTTTTAGTGGTCAGTATTTACTGCTATTTGTTGCTGGTTGAGATTTTTTATCAGTTTAAATGCTACAACCATTTTTGTTTCACTCATCAGTAATTGAATGCATGAAATTCAGTGTAATGGCCTGCCGTTTTTCTTAAAGGGAACACAAAGAGGAGAATATCCCAACAAACTCAATGTTTTTATTTGAGATTTACAATATTTTAATATAGCAACAGGTTTCAAGCCTTTCATAATGCCCCTTTTGGTACAAAAAGTTAAAATTAACAATTAGTCTTTTCAAATGGATCCGAAGCAGGAAAGTTTATCAAAATATTTGTACATTTAGAAAATAGGTTGCCCAAATGTTTGAATAGGCTGTGTGAGGTAAACGATATAACTGTTTATTATGTTAATAACTACCACTCCGTAATAGTGTCATTTAGTCGATATCTGTCAAACAATTGTCACTGACTAAGTTAATAATCTTTACTAATAACCTTGTATTAATGTTGTACCGTTGATGAATAACTGTGAGAATGAAAAACACATGATGTGATCATACTAGTTGCATACCCAGATCATGTGAAGCTATTTGAAATGAAATCTAATTATTAGTCACAATTAAGTTGTTAGACAATCATTTTAATCACTTAAATTAGCTATTGTCTTGAATCCTACTGTTAATGGAAATCCTTTCAATAATGATATGGTATTTAATTATGATTATCTAAATTTATTGTAGATATATGGGATTCAGAGAGTGCAGCTGCGTCATCCGGTATTGGGTCAGGTGTAACAACTACCACAGCGTCAGATAACAGTAATCCTACCGCTCAGAATAATCATCACCAACAACAGCAACCGAAACACTTTCATCAACATCAAAACCGAACAAAGTCCATAAATTCAGACAATAACTATTCAAATCAAGATAATGTTAGTACTATAGATAATAATGAAACATTTGTTAATAATGAAAGTATCAAAAGTGACCTTGGCTCTATTGATCGATCCTCTTTATTTGGAACACCAAGAACAGATTCAAATTCTACTGGTTGTTCATATGAAAGAACATTTAATCCACAAATAAATCCTAAGAATGATAGTTTAATACACTCTTCATGTACTTGTATACAAAAGCAACAAAAAAGAGACAATTCACAATCTACTTGTTGTTATCATCTAAATTATCATGATCAATTGGTAGATGGGAATATATCCTCTCAATTAGATTCAGAACAACTTAGTGCAACAAGTTCTCAAGTAAGCAGTGGAGTTGGTTCAATGACTTCGTCAAATGCTGGTAGTGGTTGTAATTGTACCGGTACAGGATTAAACAATACAAATATAAATGTTTTGGATCATGCCAGTAGTAATGTTAGTGGCAATATCTGTGTTAATAGATTACCTAGATTTGTTCAAGGTGACAATTCATCTAAATTAACTAATGATTATCCAAATAACTCACAAGTATTCAATCAAGATGATAATAACATATCAAAGATGTGGAGAAAGTATTATAAATCATATGGTTATTGTTCACCGTGTAACAACCAATGTGAAACGTTTTATCCTGAAATATTCAATTCTGAGACGGAGTGTTATTCAAATACACCAGCAACTGTATTAAATGGTCTCTCTTCTACTGTTTCTCCTGTTCCGCCTTCCATTTCAACATATCAATACCACCATAATCCTCATCTTCATCATAATCATCATCATCATCATCCTCATCATCATCATCATCAGCAGCAGCAGCAACGTCCTTCACAAAATAACCTCGACATAGTTATGTCAAGTTCAAATCATAATAATGATGAAATGCACTTTTCTCCTCACAGTTATGTTCATTCAAGTTCATCTAATTCATCACCATTCAATTCAAACCGTCCACATTCTGTTGAGACATTTTCGCATAATAATTTAACGAACAATAGTTTACTTGACCATAGACGATATACACATACTTCATTATCTACTAGAAATAACAATCATGTTAATGAAATGAATAATACTATAAATCAAACTAATCCAAGGCATCCACACAATATATGTCTTTCTTCTATCAATAATAATAATCAATGTGATATGAATAGTAATATGATTTTGAAGAGACATTCTATTACTGATGATCGATGTCATGTAAATGGAACATGGTTTACTAATGCAAATAATGGTAATGATAATAATTATTATTGGTCACATCCATATTATGCTAATCAACCGTCCATAGGACATCAAATTCCTAATTGGTTAAATAAATCTGTATTAACATCATCATCATCATTAACATCGACATCATTAACAGAAGCTATAAGAACACACAATTCATCAGATAGTTTATGTGTAACATCAAGATTTAATGATTCAATAAACTATTATCAAGAATATCCTAATTGTTGTCAACCAACAATAAATTCATTTCAAATAAATCATTCTTCATTATCCTCAACTATATCTACAAAACCTTCTGTAAAACAACACTCTAAATTATCTTGGACAACAGATGATAATTATTCAGAATATCTTAATTCAAATCATTTACAAAATTCATATATTCAATCGAATTGTTTGGTTAACATTAATCATTCTAGTAATAATGACAATTTAATTGAAATAGATCATAATAATCGAACAAATATTCAAGGAAATTGTAATTCTGAATTAAACTGTTGTTATACAAATTTTCATAATAATACTACACAATTGGAAAATATGAATCATATAAATACTAATCCATTATTCATTTCATTAACTTCATCTCAACCATTTTTGATTAATTCATTCAATACAACATCAATAACAACAACATCTGAACAAACTCCTTATTCATCTTATCATTTAACTTTAAATTCAAATAGAGTTCATCAAATAAATCAAAGAGATGTTGAACAAATAAATAAAATGAAGAATTTACATTCAACTAATCAACTATCCACAATAGCTTCAGTGACAGCTTCTGCAACAACAACAACAACCACAACAACAGCAACAACGTCTACAGTCAGTAGTTATCAGAATTTAAAAGAAAGGGAAGTATACAATTTCCCCGTACCAAATTCTCTTCATACATATATTAATCCACTTCATTCATCTAGTTCATTGTACAGTTCTTTCTTACAATCAGTTTTTGAAGAACCAACATTCACATCATCATCACCATCATCATCATCATCATCGTCATCATCGACATCATCATCACCATCTCCATCCTTATTATTATCATCGTCATCATCAACTCATTTCGGTCATTTTAATCAACTATTTGTAAATGCTGATCCTATAAGTAATAATCTAGTTGTCTGTAATATGTCAACTATGGATACAGATTGTATACCACTTCATTCATCTAATTAAAAATAAACTGTATAGTTATTTCAGTAAAAGTGTGATAATACAATATATCAATTATGATTACAATCATTTTCTTCTTGTTGATATATTGATGAAAACTGGTGAAAAATGGAATCATCCTTCTATTTCTTATTTACTTTCTTTCAATTTTACATTTCTTTTGCTGTGAGTTATCAATGATAAAGTTTTGTGTTTTTGCAAACTAGTCAGTATAGTTTGTAGCATTTTATTGTTGTTGTTGGTTTGTTATTATTTCATATACTTTAATAGTATCAGAATTAAATTAAACTATACTCTCTTTAATAACTGTATATTATTAAAATTGAAGCCGGTGTCATTTTCACACCTTTATTCATACTAATTGTATTATCCGTGGAAGGAAATAAGAGCGCCACTTTTTTTCCATTTTTTTTTGTTTTTAATTTCTAAGCATTATTTATTACTTGTTTTTATCACTCATAGATACTTTATTATCGTCTGAAAATTAGCTTTTAAATAATTGAAGAGAATAAAAAGCACATGTATTTATTCAATGTGTCGTTTATTCTGTTGTTGTTCCTGTTGTTCTTGTTTATATTACTTCTTTTTTCACCTACTTGTATATCCGGTCATTGAAACATATTGACTTTTGAATTTCGATTGTTTTTATTTCAAAATTTTCATGGCTTTTCGTTTCTTTCTTTCTTTATTTTTTTCCAAATGGGAAACACTCAAAATATACATCTGGCTAATTATCTATCATAACTGGTTATTTAATTAAGTTATTCATTCATCAGTTTACTTTAATCATCTATTCAAAAGTTTACATTGAAAATAACACGGGAAAACTAAAGTTTAAACAAACAAACAAACAAGAAATAATAATCATCAAGAAATAATAGTTACTATACTGAATTGAAACCAGAATTTGTTTTTTTTGTCATTCAAATCATTTGTAATTATAAATTTATTTTTCAAGTTTAATATTTCTGTTTTCTTTCTAAAATTTAAAAAATTTAAAAAAAAATTTAAAAAATTTCGATCCCTTTTTAACAAACATGCATTGACTAAAAAAAAAATGAAATTTCTTTAAAATATCAAAGCTATTTTAATATGAATATATATATATATATATATATATATATATATATATATATATATATATATATATATATAACTTTAATACATTAAAACACATGGATAACAGTTCGAAGAATATTGATCAATGTTCCATATAGTGTCGTTCTACTATCCTAGAGTTGAAAATTAACAATCTGATCTAATGTTTTATTACCACGGATACACACATTAATATACAAATAAAATATAATAAATTTTATTTCATTTTCATCATATAAACAAATGAATTATTATGTAAACTGTTATTGTTCATTTTAATATTTTAATATCTTTAATTCTGTTTTCATAGTGAATCAATAAGTTATAAGATTTAAACATTGAATGAAAATTCAGATTTCAATAATAAAAGTTCCAGTTTCCTTTCTGGTGACTTTTACTATTTTCTTTTTAATTTATATATTGTATCCAATTTTTAAAAAAACATTATGTTTTAAATGAAACACTAAAAGTTACTAGGTTATCATTAGATTCCTGTTCTTCTTTTTTTGTACTACTAATAACTATTTACATGAAGGACATTGTTAACTGACATCTTAAGGTGAATAACATCTGTTGTAATATCTTGTATAAATGAGTACACATTCAGTAAGAAGTTATGCGTTTTTCTAGTGTCTATTTTATCTTCTTTTATTTATTATTCGAACGATATCTAAATATTATTTTATTATAAATGTAAAATAATGAATAGATAGATATTTCTATAATATCTAGGTAGTTAATTACTCATTTATAGATTGAACGATTCGCCTTTCATATACAAAAACTAGCTTTCAGACTGTATACAAGGTTTTCAAACATTCAATTTTGAAATTAAACAGAATAATTACGTTCTATTCCGTTGACGAATGTGTTCCTTCTAGAGGTTTTAAACGGAAAATCTCGACCTTGCTTGTCTCATGAAATAAATACACATAAATGATTTTTGATACCCTTGAAGATTCTTTAAACCAACTTGTTTTCTCAAGTGAAAGTATAGGATTGATTTTATAAGCGAATTTGTTTTTCTATACGATCGTCTTGAACAAATGTTTAACTGAATATCACTGTATGAGACTCGGTGAATTAAGATATATGATGTTATTTGTTTGTAGAGTCAGTCTTTACTACTATTTCTTCAGAGCAGTGTTTTATAGAAAGAATCATCGCTAATCTCAAATCGTGGGCATTCTGGGCATTAGTTTAAGTGGATAAATAATAATTACAACTGAAAAATATATTGGATATAAAGAATAACGGTAGATTACATATATTTATCTAGAATTTCGCGTTTGAAAATATCAAATTTAAAAATACTTCCCAAATGCGAGAAAAATTAGTAATCACTCATGAAAAGGATTACAGTAGCAATAAAAGGATTTTAGAAATGAATCAACCGACTAATATCCACTATCTCATTGATACTTATTTAATGATAGGCTTGGTCGTAGACTAATGTTCTAGTTGTGACTCATTGAAAAGGCTGCGACTAAATTATACGGAGAGAAAGCTGCGGGATTTAATTTAATAATTGCAAATGAGCCTACAGATGATCATTTACAGTAATTATTTAAACATCCTCAAGTGTTTTTCAGAATTTGGAGATAAAATGTAGTAACAAATCAGATTACTCAATTCGGATGCACTGGGTTCTGTGTGGTCAGGCCGTCATGATAAGATAATAATTGTGTGGTCTAGGGATGTCACAGCTATTCAAAGATTGACAACGCTGTTGTCTGTAACATCTTTGTAATCGAAGACCTAAAAGCCAATTAAACCAGGAACAGGGAATGAAGGAGTATGAAAATGTATTTGGAAGATAGTCCGTAAATAGAGAAGCGCGTAATCCAAACTGCCTAGTTGTTGAGAGGGATGTGTTACATGGTGCACCAACTCGTGATCTGTTGCAGATGTTTGGCCGAGTATTTCCAGCTAGGGTGTGTTTAGAATAACTATTTAGGTCAGTATCTACCCGTAAGACTTACAGATCCATTTATTTTGAGAATTTGTTTGGTACTACAATTCTCGTCCTCTAATCCTTTATCGATTAGCTTATCTCTGATATCAGTTCTACAGGTACAAGCAGGACCTAAGTACCAACTGAAATATCGATGAATGAACGTTAACCAAGACCTTAACGGATATTGATCCTTAAACTCCTTCTGACCCAGATTGCAATCGGAAGACGATGATGGAAAGTAGTCCAATTTTGTGTTGTACTTGATCCACTTGTAACTCCGAACTCATATGCTAATATACCTGAAGTGTCTGACCACACAGCAACAAAACTATAAAATTATAATGCATGTATGTCTCAGTGATATTAAACAATAATAATAGGTGAATAATTAATAAATGGTAAGTCTAAAGTAGTAAGACGTGTGATTACGATTTACAGATTAAACAAAAAATTTGAAATAGTATGCTATAAAAATATAACAGCCTAAGAGCTCTCTAACTGTATGATGAAAATGTAAATAATAATCTTTCGCACGATAGTTTAAAAGTCATAATTCTGCATTATTCGTCCTATTAAAAATATGAAGGTTGATTCATCTGATTAGCCTCCACGACCATTAACTGTTAATCTTGGCTGAAGTAATCTCCAAGATCCAGTTTTCACGATCCGCTGACGCTTAATGGTAGCTCGAAAACAAGATTCTCATTTTAGTCAGAGAAAAGGTTAACCTATTAAATCTGTAAAACCAGTGAACATATTTCCATAACAACGTCCTTTGTCTTATACGGTCTTCAAAGCAGCCATAGTACTTTGATACGTTAAAGGGGTGATCTACATTAGATGCTGACAGTGGGATATGACTTCAAAGTTATCTGGTTCATCACACCATTCCCATGTAACTCTAGTAGGCCTCTAACCATTCGACAGAGATCACCAGCGTTGATGATCAACAAAACTAAATACTATGGTAGCTATGACAAACTTTATTTTGTTAGTGAGTTCAAATTAGCCATATATTGTTAATTAACTAGCCGTTTGTGTGACCGTCTACAAGACCTTGTACCGAAGTCCCATCACCGTCTATTTTCTTCATCCTAAGAACAGACCCAGTTTTACTGGTAAAACATATTTGGTAAAAAGATTGAAGGAATACATAGTATTCATACATGTTAAAATGAATGTTCATGAAGGCCGTTCAGTGTGTCGTAGCAGTGTTCAAAACAGTCTTATATAGTAGTGAATGGAATAAGAGAGACTTTTAAACAAGCCCCTCCATGTTAACGAGACAGTTGTTTGCGTATATATGCATATTATTCTTACTAAATCTTTTACTTATGGTACGTTAAGGCTTTATTCTTTGTCTGGTTTCCGTATGCCACATCTACACCGAGCTGCAACTGGTCACACATATCTCACGAATCTCCTTTAATTATTGGGACTTCGTAGTAACTTCTACGGACTAATCACAATGGCTACTTGAATTCATTTTCAACACTAATGCTTCTCCGAGTTATGTATTTATATTTTAACTTTGAGGATTATTTGTTTGTATGTGTGTCTATCTCTATCTATAGGTTGACTTTTCGCTCATTTATTTGCTTCTATATGATATATAGTTCATCTGATATGGAAAGTGATCGACTCCATACCAAGGGTCTATTAGCTGGCAATAGACGGATTATACAATACTTTCTTCCGTTTATTTTTACGGTCTTTCTGCATGCGCCACGATCCCTGAAATAAAATTCTTCCAACTATCCTCGTACCTGACGTCTCTTATCTCTATGAACATCGAACTTGTTGCCAACCATAGTTGCAGTCTCTTGACAATGCTAAGTGACTTCCTGTCGTCACTTTACGTACAAGTATCCATAAGTTATGTAGATGTAGAGGCTTCTGATGTAAACACTTGTTGGTTGCTGCTGTGGTTGTTGCTCTGATAGCCAATATTCATGGTGCAAAACAGAGCTTACGCATTTTTACCATCTTTCGAGATAAGAAGAGAACAGACGATTACACAGGATATAAATTTGTTAATGAATTTATAATTCTCAATCACTTGCATAAAACTAAAATTCTTTCTCGTAGTTAAAATTCACGTCATAGTCTTGAAATCAGTAAAAGAAACCAGTAACCTTAACAACTATATTCCCTGTTTTTCCCTTTTCACTACTCTTGAACGATCTACGATATATGTGTGTACTAGTCTGCGGTATTGAAGACAAAGAGACTATAGTGTTTGTATGAACTAATGATTCCCTCTACTTGATTGCCCGCTTGGTCTCAAATTCTAAATACAATACTGTGTTGTTTGAATGAACTAATGATTGCTTTGTACTTGTTGAATGCCTGATTTCGAATTCTAAATACAGTACATTCGTTCATGCTTATCTAGTAGTTCTTGATCCAATTGCGTTATTTCTGGGATTATTAGTTCATACTATAATTCAAATACTTCTAATTATCACATTGGCGTCGCGATGTAGCCTGCGATTGAACAGTTAGATATTCATTCGGATTTTGATGCTTATGAGGATTTCTTTGAAAGTTTCAAAATCTGAGCTATGATCAAGGAAGATGATGAGGATATTAATATTATGGCACATTTTCTCATATTCATCGGAAAAGAAGCATATAGCTTATTAAAAATTTTGGCTTTACAGGAAAAGCCCATTTCTCTTCCTTATGCAACTCTCAAGGAACTACTTCTAGACTATTCTAAGTATACAAATTTCGAATGCGGTAAAGGGAGATTTGATAAAATAATTCATGAGGATCTAAAAAATTCCACTACATTACGTCACCCCATCCCAGTGAATACTCAAGGTTATGCAGATAATTCATTTAGGAGTTGCGATGCAGTTCAACAAGATGGGCACAAGTTTGGTCAATGTTTGTCCCGCGGCAGGTTCCACTCTTTTAATTCATGTAAA